AAAGGGTCATAAATCACAGACTCACAGCTACCATCATACTCAATGGTGAAAACCTGATTTTTCTTTAAAATCAGGAAGAAGGATGTTCACTCATGCCACTTTTATTCAGTGTAGGACTGGAAGTTGTAGCCAGGGCAATCAGACAAGAAAAAGAAACAAAAGGCATCAAATTGGTAAAGAAGAAGTCAAACCATCATTATTGTAACTGATACTATATATAGAAAATCATAAAGACCCCAGCAAAAACTATTAGAAGCAATAAATGAATTCAATAATATTGACTATACAAAATTAATATACAGAAACCTGTTGTGTTTTCATATACTAATAACAAAGTTGCAGAAAGAGATATAAAGAAAACAATTCTATTTATGACTACACCAAAAAAGAATAAAATACTGAGGAATAAATTTAACCAAAGAGGTAAAAGACTTATATTCTGAAAACTATAAGACATTGATGAAAAAAGTGAAGTCAGCACAAATGCAAAGGTATACCATGCTCATGGAAGGCTTCATATGTTAAAATGTCCACACTACCCCCAAACAATCCAAGGATTCGATGGAACCCCCCTCAAAATTCCAACTATATTTTTCTGTAACTAGAACAAATAATTCTAAAATGCACCACAAAGAACCCTGAATAGCCAAAGCAGTCCTGAGAGATAACAAAGCTGGAGGTATCACAAACTGATTTCAAACTACACTACAAAGCTATAGTAAACAAAACACCATTGTACTGGCACAAATATAGACACACAGACCAATAGAACAGAATAGAGAGCTCAGAAATAAATCCATATTTATACGGTCAATTAATCCAATTAATGGATCCATTAATCCATGGATATCAACTTATCCATAAGAAGATAAGAACATACAATGGGAAAAGACAGTCTCTTCAATAAATGGTGTTGAGAAAACTGGACAGCTACTTCAAAAGAATGAAACTGGACCCCTTTCTTACACCATACAAACAATTAAACTCAAAGTGGATTAAAGACATAAATGTGAGACCTGAATCCATAAAAGTTCTAAAAGAAAACACAGAGAAATAATTTCTTTGACATCAGCCTTAGCAACATCTTTCTGGATAAGTCTCCTAGGCAAGAGAAACAAAGCAGAAATAAACTATTGAAACTACACCAAACTAAAAAACTTTTACACAGTGAAAGAAACTAAATAAAATGACAAGGCAACATACTGAATGTGAGAAAACATTTGTAAATGATATAAGCAGTAGGAGATTAATATCCAAAATATATAAAGAATTTATGCAACACCCAAAAAACCCACAAATAATCAGATTAAAAAATGAGCAGAGCACCTGAATGGACACTTTTCCAGAGGAGACATAGAGATAGCCAACTAACACATGGAAAGATGCTCAACATCATTAATCATCAGGGAAATCCAAATCTTAGCCACGATGAGGTATCACCTCCCACCTGTCAGAATGGCTAGTGTCAGAAAGACAAGAAATAACAAGTGCTGGCAAGGATGTTGAGAAAAGGGAAGCTTTGTGCACTGTTAGTGGGAATATAAAGATGCCACCACTGTAGTAAAGAGTATGAAGTTTCCTCAAAATTTAAAAATACCATAGAATCCAGTAATTCCATTACTCGGTATTTACCTCAAAGAAACAAAAACAGTAGTTCAGAAATATATATATATATGTATGTATGTATGTATGTATGTGTATATATATATATATACACATACATACATACATACTGAAGCATTATTTACAATGGCCAAGATAGGAACCAAACTAAATGTCCATTGATAAATAAGTGGATACAAGTAGATGTAGGTGTATACAGATACACACACAATCGAATATTACTCAGCCATAAAAAAGAATGAGACCTTGACATTAATGACAACATGGGTGGACCTAGAGGGTATTATGCTAAGTGAAATAAGTCAGACAGAAAGACAAACACTGTATGATTTTACATATATTTGGAATCTAAAAAACAAATAAACAACAAACACAAAACCCCAGAGAAGAGGGGCATGGAACATGAGCAAAATAGGTAAAGGGGATTAAGAGGTACAAACTTCCAGTTACGAAATACATAAGTCACAGTGATGAAAAAGTATAGAGAATATAGTCTATAATATTATAATACTGTCTGGTGACAGATTGTAACTACACTTATAATGGTGAGTACTGCATAATGTATAGAATTGTCAAAACACGACATTGTACACCTGGAACTAATATAGCATTGTATAGCAACTATATTTCAATAATAATAACTTAACTGAAAAAAACCTGGGGGACTACTGTTTGTTCAAAGTAATGAAAGTAACAATGTATTACAAGATTATAGTATATGGATAAGTTAAAGGAATGATAAAAATGTCTTAAGGAAAGGATATGGAATTGGGAATATTCTTATAAAGTAACTTCAAAACCCATGAAACAGCCTAGTATTAGATGAAAGTAGACAGAGATGAAATGAAAATGTATATAGCAAACTTTAGGGCAACCAATAAAAATTTTAAAGGAGTATAATATGCTAAGAAAGGAGGAAAAAATGGAATCATATAAAATGCTCAATTAAAACCAGAGAAAGCAGAAAAAGAGGAGAAGGTTTGTTTTTTTTTTAAAGAACAGACATAATCAATGAGAAAAACTTATAACCATGTTAAATATTAATCCAAATAAATCAATCACTTTCACTGTGAGTGGCCTAAGTATACCAATTAAAAGAGACCATCAGAGTAGATTAAAATAGGAAAAGACTCACTATATGCTGTCTATAAGAAACCCACTTTAAATACAAAGACACCTATAGATTAACAGTAAAGGCATGGAGAAAGATATACCATGCTAACTCTAATCAAAAGAAAGATGGAGAAGCTATATTAATTCCAGACAAAGCTAATTTCAAAAGTAGAAAAGTTATGAGACAAAGAGAGACGTTACATCATGATAAAGGAATCAATTCTCTAAGAAGACATAATAATCCTTAATATGTATGCACTTAAGACAGGGCATCAAAATATGTGAGACAAGAACTGATAGAACTGCACAAATATTACATTTGGAGATTAAAATGTGTCTTTATCAGGAACTGACCCATCCAATTGGCAGAAAATCAGGAAGGACAGGGTTTAACTAGATAACACTATCAATCGGTTGGACCTAATCGACAGTCTATAGAATATTTGAGCCAACCACAGCAGAATATACATGTTTCTCAAGCTCACATGGAACATTCACCAAGATATTCTACATTCTGGGCCAAAAAAACACCTTAACAATTTTTTTTTTAAAGAAAGTGTGAGCGTTCGTGGGGTGGGGGTAAGTGAGGAGAGAGAGAGAGAGGATCTTAAGTAGGCTCCACGCCCAGCACAGACCCCGATGTGGCGCTCAATCTCACGACCCTGAGGTCATGACCTGAGCCGAAATCAAGAGTTGACAACCAACCCACTGAGCCACCCCGGTGAACCAACAATTTTCTTTTAATGAAAATCATACAAATTGTGCTGTCAGATCACAATGGAATTGAACTGGAACTCAATAACTTAAAGGTAGCTGGAATGCCAAAAAATTTAGAGATTAAATAACACACTTTTAATAACACTTGGGTCAAAGAGGAAAGCAAAAGAGAGGTTTAAAAATATTTTTACCTAAATGAAAATGAAAATACAGCATATTAAAATATGTAGGATGCAATAAAAACAAGGCTTATAGGGAAATTTATAGCAATTAATGTATATATTAGAAAATTAGAAGTTTCTAAAATCAATAACCTAGGCTTCCACCTTAGGAAACCAGAGAAAAATGAGCTCTATAAACTCAAAGCAAACAGAAGAAAAGAAATAATAAAAATTAGAACAGAAATCAGTGAATTTGAAAAAAGAAAATCACTAGAGAAAAATCAATGATCACCAAACATTAACTTTTTGATATAACTCTATCAGGGCTAACCAAGAAAAAAAAAAGAGAGAAATCACAAATTACAAATACACAAATATCAGAAATGAAAGAGGGATCACCACTATTGATCCCACAGACATTAAAAAGAGATATTACAAACAATTCTATGCACCCAAATTTAATAGATTCAATAAAATTCTCTGAAAGACACAAAACTTACACAATGAGAAATCCATACTCTGACCAGAGCTGTATCTATTAAAGAAACTAAAATAATAACTTTCTAAAAAGCACAGATGTTTTCACCAGTAAATTCTGCCACACAATTGAGAATGAAATAATACCAATTCTCTACAATATCTTCCAGAAAATAGAAGCAGAGAGAACTCTTGCAAACGCATTCTACAAGGCCAGAATTACCCTAATACATAAACCAGATGAAGACTTTACAAGTAAACTCTAGACCACTACCTTTCATGAACATAGTTGCAAAAATTCTCAACAAAATGTTAGCAAATGGATCCAAAAATGTATTAAAAAATTATACACCATGAGCAACTAGGGTTTATCCCAGGCATGCAAGGCCAGTACAACATTTGAAAATCAACTAATTAGGGACGCCTGGGTGGCTCAGTGGGTTAAGCCTCTGCCTTCAGCTCAGGTCATGATCTCAGGGTCCTGGGACTGAGCCCCGCATCGAGCTCTTCGTATGGTGGGGAGCCTGCTTCCTCCTCTCTCTCTGCCTGCCTCTCTGCCTACTTGTGATCTCTCTCTCTCTCTATGTCGAATAAATAAAATAAAATAAAAAAGAAAATCAACTAATGTCATTCATCATACTAATAGGCTAAAGAAGAAAAATCATACAAAGCATGTATATAAATGCATAAAGTCATTGAAAAAAATCCAACACTTATTCATGATTAAAACCAACAAGCTAAGAATAGAGGGGGACCTCTTCAACATGATAAAGAAAATCTATAGAAACCTATAGCAAACCACACATATCTAGTGATGAGAAACTAGATCCTTCTCCAAAGACTGGGTAGAAGAGAAAGATGTCCACTCTTCGTCAACTCCTATTTAACCTTGTTCAGGAATAAAATCAGGGGATAACCAAGCTGGAAGCCGAAAAAGTTCAAAGTACCTGGGTTTTTCAACAGCTTGGAGGAAGCATGCATTCGGCAATCCACATGGTTCATCTCAAAATATCGTAAGGAAAATTAGTACTAATTTATCGCTGATTCAGTGCCCAAATGTTCAGTTCCAGCTCACCAGCCCCACAACAAAATGGAGCCCAAGCCATCCTGGAGAGGATGCAGTGGTATCTTTTGCTGATGGAGGATGGGTAGCCAAAGAAGAAGGAGAGTGTTCAGCAAGACAAAGGACAGAGGTCAGATCAAGGGAGTTTCTTCAGGATGACCTTCATTTCTTTGAGAAGCTGCCAAGCAGGCAGTGTTCCTTACCAAACCTGTCTCCAGAAGAGCTTCCACAGAAGACAGCACTAGCAAATGAGGAGACATTGCAGAAGATCTGTGCCCTTGAAAATGAACTTGCTGCTCTTAGAGCTCAGATTGCCAAAACTGTGACCCAGCAAGAACAGCAACATGTCATTCCAGGTGACTTAGATCCTACCACATCTGTTACTACACCACCATCCTCTGTCCCTCTCCCGCCCCCGCCCCCACCTCCCCCAACCCTCCCCCATCGGGGCTCCCGACCTGATGAAAGAGCGAAGAGAGAAAAAAACCTGTGCTGGAAAGACCTTGGTTAAGAACAGTCCAAAGAAACCTGATATGACAAATACGTTAGAGATCCTTAAAGATATGAACAGTGTAAAATGTCAGTCAGTGAAAAGTTCAGAACAGGATATAAAGCCCAAACCGGTGAATGTTACGGACCCTGCTGCCCTCATACCAGGGGATCTGAAAAAGGCATTTGCCTATCGATATCGAAGCCATAGTCAAGGTGAAATCCAAAACCTGCATCAGAGGCCACCTCAGAAGAGAGTGCTGTTGGGGCCACACATGTCGAAGTCTACAGGAAAAATGAAGGCTTTAATTGAAAATGTTTCAACTTCCTACTAGACAGTGAGCAGAGAAAAACTATCCTTGCTCCAGCTGTTGGTTAGGGCTGTTTGATGAGTGGAAATCAACACAATTTAGTAAATACCTGAATTTAGTATTCAGTGGTCTCCTTTACATCTCATCAGACTCAGCAATAACAAAAGTACTCTAAGTTTGTGGGTTGTTTTTTTTTTTTAAAGATTTTATTTATTTGACAGACAGAGATCACAAGCAGGCAGAGAGGCAGGCAGAGAGGAAGCAGGCTCCCTGCTGAGCAGAGAGCCTGATGTGGGGCTTGATCCCAGGACCCTGAGATCATGACCTGAGCCCAAGGCAGAGGCTTTAACCCACTGAGCCACCCAGGCGCCCCGTTTTTGTTTTGTTTTCTTTTTTTTTAATGAGAAGATTAGTTCTGAACTTTCCCATAATGTGTATTCAGACATGTGTTTTCTTTTTTTCCAGACATGTGTTTTTAATGTAGTCAGGATGTTTAGGTTTCTAGTCTTGAAAATAATTATATAGATTTCAGAAGAAAGGACATTTGTAGAGGGGTTTTTAATTCTTAATACTAACTTATCTCTGCAGATATTTTATATGCATATTTTGGATATAAAATAGTATGTAAAATTGTTTTAAAGTTGCGATTAGCCCATTTTTATTATTTAAAAAAATTTTTTTTTCAGCATAACAGTATTCCTTGTTTTTGCACCACACCCAGTGCTCCATGCAATCCATGCCCTCTCCAATACCCACCACCTGGTTCCCCCAACCTCCCACCCCCCCGCCGCTTCAAACCCCTCAGATTGTTTTTCAGAGTCCATAGTCTCTCATGGTTCACCTCCCCTTCCAATTTCCCCCAACTCCCTTCTCCTAACTCCCCTTGTCCTCCATGCTATTTGTTATGCTCCACAAATAAGTGAAACCTTATGATAATTGACTCTCTCTGCTTGACTTATTTCACTCAGCATAATCTCTTCCAGTCCCGTCCATGTTGCTACAAAAGTTGGGTATTCATCCTTTCTGATGGAGGCATAATACTCCATAGTGTATATGGACCACATCTTCCTTATCCATTCATCCGTTGAAGGGCATCTTGGTTCTTTCCACAGTTTGGCGACCGTGGCCATTGCTGCTATAAACATTGGCAATTCAGTAACGTGGCAGGATACAAAGTCAATGTACAGAAATCAGTGGCTTTCTTATACATTAACAATGAAAATACAGAAAGGGAAATTAGAGAATCGATTCCATTTACTATAGCACCAAGAACCATAAGATACCTGGGAATAAACCTAACCAAAGAGGTAAAGGATCTGTACTTGAGGAACTACAGAACACTCATGAAAGAAATTGAAGAAGACACAAAAAGATGGAAGACCATTCCATGCTCTTGGATCGGAAGAATAAACATTGTTAAAATGTCTATACTGCCTAGAGCCATCTATACTTTTAATGCCATTCCGATAAAAATTCCACCGGTATTTTTCAAAGAGCTGGAGCAAATAATCCAGAAATTTGTATGGAACCAGAGGAGACCCCGAATCGCTAAGGAAATGTTGAAAAACAAAAATAAAACTGGGGGCATCACATTACCTGATTTCAAGCTTTACTACAAAGCTGTGATCACCAAGACAACATGGTACTGGCATAAAAACAGACACATAGACCAGTGGAACAGAGTAGAAAGCCCAGATATGGACCCTCAACTCTATGGTCAAATAATCTTCAACAAAACAGGAAAAAATATACAGTGGAAAAAAGACAGTCTCTTTAATAAATGGTGCTGGGAAAACTGGACAGCTATATGTAGAAGAATGAAACTCGACCATTCTCTTACACCGTACACAAAAATAAACTCAAAATGGATAAAAGACCTCAACGTGAGACAGGAAATCATCAGAATCCTAGAGGAGAACATAGGCAGTAATCTCTTCGATATCAGCCACAGCAACTTCTTTCAAGATATGTCTCCAAAGGCAAAGGAAACAAAAGCCAAAATAAACTTTTGGGACTTCATCAAGATCAAAAGCTTCTGCACAGCAAAGGAAACAGTCAACAAAACAAAGAGGCAACCCACGGAATGGGAGAAGATATTTGCAAATGACAGTACAGACAAAAGGTTGATATCCAGGATCTGTAAAGAACTCCTCAAACTCAACACACACAAAACAGACAATCATGTCAAAAAATGGGCAGAAGACATGAACAGGCACTTCTCCAGTGAAGACATACAAATGGCTATCAGACACATGAAAAAATGTTCATCATCACTAGCCATCAGGGAGATTCAAATTAAAACCACATTGAGATATCACCTTACACCACTTAGAATGGCCAAAATTAGCAAGACGGGAAACAACATGTGTTGGAGGGGATGTGGAGAAAGGGGAACCCTCTTACACTGTGGTGTGAATGCAATGCAGCCACATTGGAGAACAGTGTGGAGATTCCTCAAGAAATTAAAAATAGAGCTTCCCTATGACCCTGCAATTGCACTACTGGGTATTTACCCCAAAGATACAGATGTAGTGAAAAGAAGGGCCATCTGTACCCCAATGTTTATAGTATGTAAAATTTAATAATGACATCAGTGAGGGTACTGTTACCATCATTAGTGGTCATTGATCATTTACTACTCAGTGACAGAACAAGGTTGTTGTAGTGAAATATTTAGGATTGGAACCTTTTTGCCTTGAATAGGACTTTTACTTTAGATTCTCTCATTTCCTTGGAGATGGGGTTCAGGTAGGAACCAGATAGATAATGTTCACTGCTGAAAATTCCATAATGCTTTCATTTAAAGGAAAGTCAAAGACTATGAAAGCTGCTTTCACTTCAGTGCTGTCCAGTGCTGAGGGAAAAAAATGTGGTTTTCACATAGTGAGAAATCAAATTATTGAATTAAATCTGTAACAGGAGGGTGCCTGGGTGGCTCAATGGGTTAAAGCCTCTGCCTTTGGCTCAGGTCATGATCTCAGGGTCCTGGGATCAAGGCCCGCATCAGGCTCTCTGCTCAGTAGGGAGCCTGCTCCCCCCCCCACCCTCTGCCTCTCTGCCTACTTGTGATTTCTGTCAAATAAAAAAAAAAATCTGTAACAGGAGAAAACCAGAACATACCATCTTTTTTTTTTTCCAGTTGAATAAATGGCATCGAAAAGATGACTTGTTGCTAAGTTAATATATAATGGAAATAACAATATAACAGAGTTTTAAGATTTTTAATATTTGTCAAATATAGTAGCTTTATAAGGAAACCTTGAATAGGCGAAAGAATTTCCTATTAAGTTGTTCATCATTGGTCAGAATGCTGTCCTGTTGAATTACATTAAGCAGCAAACCTTAGGTGCTATTGGAATTGTTGTAAGTGATCATTTGTGAATGCTTGGTAAATCTTCATGGTTTTCTGTATTTCTGTTAAACTCAGCTATAGTTAATGCCAGAATCTCCTACCATGAGTAAATATTTGATTTACTTAAATCTAGTAAAAAGAAGTGGAGATAGGAAGAGTAGACACTTACTTTTAAGTTAAGTTACTGAAAATATGTGCAATGTTCTCAATCTTAGCAAAGGTTATTCAGCTTAAATCTGAACTATGACTGGGTGCCTGGGTGACTCAGTGGGTTAAATCCTCTGCCTTTGGCTCAGGTCATGGTCCCAGGGTCCTGGGATGGAGCCCCACATTGGGCTCCCTGCTCAGCAGAGAGCCTGCTTCCTCCTGTCTGTCTCTGCCCACCTCTCTGCCTATTTGTGACCTCTCTCTCCATGTCAAATAAATTAATAAAATCTTAAAAAAATAAAAAAAGAAATCAGTGGTATTTATATGAACTGTGAAACACCTGAAAAAGAAATAAATAATCCTGTTGACAATAGCATCAAAACCAATAAAAACTTAGGAATACATTTAACCAAAGAAATGAAAGAGCCGTGGAAAAAAATATATAAAACTTTCATGAAAGAAACTGGGAATAAACGAAAATCTATTCTGTGTGCTGGGTTCAGAATTAATATTAATAAAATGTCCATACTACCCAAGGCCATCTATAGATTTAACGCAGTCACTATCACCATTCCAATAGCATTTGTCACAGAAACACAAGAAACAATCTTAAAATGTGTAGGGAACCACAGAAGACCCTGAACGGCCAAGCAATCATAAAAAAGAAAAACAAAGTTGGAGGCATCACATTTCCGGATTTCAAACTATACTACAAAGTTACAGTACTTAAAACAGTAGGATACTGGCATAAAAATAGATGCATGGGCCAAGAGAACAGACTAGAGAGCCCAGAAATAAATCCGCACAGTTAATGGTAAACTAATATTTGACAAGAGAACCAAGAGTCCTCCATGTGGAAAGGCAGTCCTTCCACAGAGGGTGCTGAAGAACTGAATACCACATGCAGAAAAATGAAATTGGACACTTATCTTACACCCCTCACAAAAATAAACTGAAGAAGATCAAGGACGTAAGCTTAACACTTGATATTATAAAAATCTTAGAAGAAAGCATTCATGAAATAAGTCAATCAGAGAAAGACAAATATATGATTTCGTTCATGTGTGGAATTTAGGAAACTAAACAGAAGAACACAGGGAAGGAAGGAAAAATATGATGAAATCAGAGAGGGAGACAAACCATAAGGAACTCTTAACTCTGGGAAACAAACACGGCTGCTGGAGGGGTGGTGGGTGGGGGATAATATTCTACTGTGTACACTGGGTGATGGGCATTAAGGAGGGCACGTGATGTGATGAGCACTGGGTGTTAGAGGCAATTGATGATTCACTAAATTCTACCCCTGAAACTAATATACAGTATGTGTTTAAATGAATTTTAAATAAAAATTTTTTTTAAAACAGAAGAAAGCATTCAAAAGAAGCTCCTTGATATTGGTCTGGGCAGCATATTCCCTGGATAGGACACCAAAGCATAAGAGGGGAAAGGAAAAGTTAATAGGGGGACTACACCCAAGTAAAAAGTTCCTGTTCAGCCCAAAAGCAACAAACCACAAGATGAAAAG